TCGACAATTTTCAATATTTTTTCAAACTCTCGAATGTTTTGAGATCTTAGAGAGCACTCTCACTGTCTTCTCTGTGTCTCCACTCATTTGCACAACTTTCAATCTTGACTTTTAGTACGTAGAATTGGCTTAACCTTCATATAAATACCTCTTTTCGAACTAATGATTTCAAATCACATGCCCCTCTGCCAAATCGACAATTTTCAATATTTTTTCAAACTCTCGAATGTTTTGAGATCTGTGAGAGCACTCTCACTGGCTTCTCACTGTCTCCACTCATTTGCACAACTTTCAATCTTGAATTTTGGTACGTAGAATTGGCTTAACCTTCATATAAATACCTCCTTTCGAACTAATGATTTCAAATCACATGCCCCTCTGCCAAATCGACAATTTTCAATATTTTTTCAAACTCTCGAATGTTTTGAGTTCTTAGAGAGCACTCTCACTGGCTTCTCAGTGTCTTCACTCATTTGCACAACTTTCAATCTTGACTTTTAGTACGTAGAATTGGCTTAGCCGTCATATAAATACCTCCTTTCGAACTAATATTTTTTCAATTCACATGCCCCTCTGCCAAATCGACAATTTTCAATATTTTTCCAAACTCTCGAATGTTTTGAGCTCTTAGAGAGCACCCTCACTGGCTTCTCAGTGTCTACACTCATTTGTATGTATTACAATCTAGACCAATAGTATGAGGAATTGGCTTAGTCTTCATATAAATATTCCTTTCGAACTAATATTTCTTAAATTTTTGTTTTTGTTTTTATATAACATATTTATGTTACAATGTTCATTCATATATTAAAGGTCAATTTCAGGAGAAAAGATCGATAAATAAATCAGCTTTTGTGATAGAGTGTATCGCAAGTACAATACTGTTTCGAAAACATAGCATAAGTGCTTTTTGTGGTTTTGCAAATCCTTTGTGAACAGGTTCACCCCCCTCTGCCACAAATTTCATGGCCACAATCACAGGGTTGTCGTTTGTAGCTCGTTTAATATACAATTTGAATTTTATATTCTTGGCAATGTATTTCTCTGCTGAATCACACAATTTCTGGTTTTCTGATGTATAAAATTCAGTACGTTATTTATATGTATGCAATGGTATGTGAATTCGGGAAAATGGAACCAAAATACTATTTATTTTTCTCAATTGACTTTCATATATTATAAGATTTTTGTATGGTAGCCATCTTCAATTATTATCCGATCGTCTTGAAAATTTCAGAAAGTTATTTTCTATCGGAAAAAAATAAGGCATATCAAATTTCAAGAAATTCCAACTATAACTAAAAAATTTCATTTTTACAAAATTCACACTTTTTTGAAAAATTATTTTACTCCAGATATTGGAACTTTTGTATGGGAGTTATACATATTTTCTATCCGATCGTCTTGAAACTTTCAGGAAGTAAGGTACATTTTAGGTACAATTATTATCAGCCATAAAAATTTTAAAAATATCTTTGAGTTTTATTTTGGCTAGTTGACCGGCAAATTGAAGTGCCCCGAAATTTGAACCTCTAATATTATCCAAACGAGTAAGGTACAATTAAAAATAAATTGCGGTACAATTAAGTACATTTTTGGTACAATTATTTAAACCTAGTCCCAAGTTTCGACTTTCACATGTGCGGACATTCGACTATACATCCGAATATTTGTAATTGGTTGTATTTTTTGAATTCAAACGTTGCGCGGCATACAAATATGCACATTTTAAAACAATATCCTAAGTGTTTTTCTTTCTTCGTCTTCACTCAAATTAAGTAAAAAACTCTTTGTGTTTTTGTTAAATGCGTCTATGAGATATTTTCCATTGATCATTTTGAATAAAAAAATTCCTGCAAATGAAAAAAACACATCTGCAATTTCAAATTTGAATAAACTGAATTTAATGTTCAAAAACAGTTTTTCATACAAACGTTGAATAGACATTGAACTCAGTTCGGTTTACATAAAAAAGTTCGGTTAGATAAATTTCAATACTATAATCTATCGTTGGCATGTGTACTGCCAAATGTATTTGATTGTTCGAGACTACAGCTAATAATTGAATCCATTGTTTCACACACAAAACAATAATTCCGTTCGAAATTATTTGGCTAGAATACCGCCACTGGAAAGTACACATCGCATGTGAAGAATAGTTCATTTGTCAAGAGTCCCCTACATGTTCCTGCATGCAGTAGAAGCAACTTGAGTTTATGTAACACAATCGACGCGAGCGCCCTCAGTTCCAAAGCCCACATCGAAACTAAAGAGCGCGCCAAATTTAAAATTTAGTTTTATTTTAACTGCATGTATTCCTGTTCAGCATCCTATTGTTGTTTCTCTGTCATTACAATTAGCAGTTCAAAAAGTGCCAGTTCCAAAATGTGTTTAAAAAGAAATCGAAAATCCCGGATAATGATGTGCTTGATGGACCTTCAAAGTAAGATCTAATGCAACACAGAAACAAATATTCGAGTACGCTTACTCGCACTTGCGGTGTTAGCAGAGAGTCTACCCCATAAAATGAGTAAGGCACTCTATTTTACTCCATTTTTTGTGTTAATTTCATCCAAGTGAACGCATTGTAGTGAACGAAGAGATACATACATATGTACGTTGAACGCAAGCGGCTTTGACTACACATTTATCTCTTCTTTCACTAAGATGTGTTCACTTGGATGAAATTAACACAAAAAATAGAGTAAAATAGAGTGCGTTACTCATTTTAAGGGGTAGACTCTCTGCTAACACCGCAAGTGTGAGTAACCGTACTCGAATATTTGTTTCTATGAAAACTACAGCTTAAAATGAGGAAGAAGCAGTATTGTCAAAGCCTTCCGAAGGTTCTACATTAATAAATATAAGGCGTTGAAAGTATTGCAAAAAAAAATTCTTATTATTCGATTTCTGGATTAGATTAGATAAAACAAATGTTTTCTTTTTCGGATTCGATATATTTACTGAATTTCCACTAGAAAAAATGCGTATCAAAATGCACAATACAATTTTTTTTTCAATTTTGAATTTTGAACGACAGAATGGAAAGGATGATTTATTAACTTTTTTTTTTCATTAATTCATGAAGCTTGTTAAATATATTCGTATCAAGAAAATGTCTAAGTTTTGTTTCATTTTTTTTAAATATCACAATAATATTTCAACATTTTTTTAAAAAACCTATTCATTAATATTAATCTCAATATGTTAGCATTGGTGACGATGAAAGTATTAATATAAAGTATCTACCTAAATAATGACGTTTTTAAACAGGTTTTTTTTTTGGTATGTTCAAAATTGTAATTCAATTGATTCCGCATCGAAATGTTTTTTAAATGTATATACAGAAAATTAATTTCACGTAAATAATGTCTCGAACAATGGTTCCATTTTTGTTGGAATCTCATAAAATGATAGCTTTTGATCGAAATTATCACATTAAAAACATTGATCGATTTTTCCTACGAAGAAAACGAGCACTTATAAAAAGCGACTGGTAATTTGGTTTCTAGATTAACCATAGTACACAAAAATAGCATAAAATCAAATTTTAAATGGAGAAATAAGGTATCCCTTTCTACAAATATTCAACACATTTCAAATTTAATTCATTAAATCAAAAATTTAAATTAAGTTTTGTTTACATTGCATTACAACAAAAATATTGTTCTGGTAAAGAAATAAGCCCTGTAATTATGATAATACAATGAAATTTAATACATGAATAAATATTCAAATTAAAAAAAAAGTCAAGGGATGACGCGAGGCCATCCGATGTTTAATACCCATTTAATCGTCGAATTTTTGTTATTACTCATTGTCACAACAACCAACGCAGAAACTGATAATGGTAACATGTGTCATCAAATTTAAAAACAAAATCGTTCGCAAAATATAAAGACGTTCCGTTAGATGACATATCGAAAATGAGGCGATTCATAAATAATGATGTTGGAATGCAAACATGCTTCGAAACAAAAAATCTGAATTAAATTAATCCATGTCTCTCAATTTAAATGGCGAAATATTAAAATGTTTATCATTTTTATGGTGGTGGATGTGGTGTTTGTTCATCGTTCGATTTATTTGAATGTTTGGGAAATTTTATACATGGTATTCGATCCTCGTCTCGAGACCACATCTCATATGTGCCCACGTTCTAAACAAAATCACAAAAATTTTAACATTAAGAAGTCGATTTCAATTGTGATTCTCATTTGAATGCAAACTTACCGAATGTGATGGTTGCTCTTCGGCAAATGATTGTCCCAATGTTGGTTGATATGCACGTGATGGTCGGCAAGAAAGCAATTGAATTGCCTCAGCAAGCCCATCTTGACTAGTTGTCGATGACTGATACATCGAATCTAAATTGAATCAATCAAATAAATTGTTAGTTCCAAAATAAGAGAAGGAATTTTGTCAAATGTCAAAAACCTGGTGTTGTTGTTTGGCTGCGATCGCTGCTGGTTTTTGAGTACAACGTTTGTGCTGCATTTGGTGGTACAGCCATTCGTGATATAATACGTGTCTGATGCCAGGTGACAGTGTTTTTCGATTCCGTTTTTGATTCCCATGGCATTGACCAACGACGCATATTTTCGGCATCCATCATGCTCGGTTCGCCTTTCACTTCACCAGCAGCAGCCTCCGACCATCGTCGCTGCGAATTCAATGGAAATAATGGAAAATTCAGTGGGCTTCGAGAGCAACGATGAAGAAATGGTCCTTTCATAGTCAATAAATGACCCGGAGGTGGTAATGGTCCTCGAATATTCTCTAAGAAATTATGAACAGGACTTGGTCCTCGAACATCCTGAATTGGAATGAAAACAATCAATTAATATTAGAATGTCAAGACATTTTGAAACAAATACTTATTGATCAATAAATATTATTACATATAATCCAATAAATGAAAGAAAAAGTAACAATCGAACCTGATGCGGAGACGGTACTCGAGCCGAAGTAAGTTCCATATTCATCATGTTTCGATTAGTAATTGATTGACTGACTCCATCCGTACGATAAATATCACGATCATTTTTTGGTACATTCATGGTCAATGGTCCAAAATGTGGTGATGGTGTTTGTGAACGCAAATCACTTGAACCTGATCTGCTCAATAAATCGAATTCAAATCGTTAATGAAAGTATAAAACACAGCAAAGAACGATTTAACACGACACACGCTTATTGCTTTAGTTTTATGGTATGTATGCATATAAAATATCATACGACTATATGCATAACATTTCAATAAAAAATAAAATATTCCACATTTTATAGCAACCCGAACTAGCACAACGTTAAGTTTTAGTTTTTTTTCTTAAATTCTATTGATTCATTTGTCGCAAATAAAAAAAATCTTCCAAATGTAGTAGCTAAAAGTAGTACCGCTTTGCAAAAAGTAATACCTTTTTTGAAATCCACAATCGGAATCATGTGGAAAACCAACAGGAGCATGGCACATGAAGCAACACATTAATGTTGAAAATGAATCATAACTGGCCACACAAAATTGATGCTGAATATTGACCATGGTTTGTGTTGTTTCCATAATAATCTGTTGATTGTGGTCCCGTATATCCGAATCAGGTTCAAATGATGTTAGCGATTGTGTTACAAATTCTTGTAGCAAACTGACAATGTGTGATTTCACTGTGCTTGTTGCAACAGTGGTGGCCCTATGGAAATGAAACCAACATACGAATTATAATAAGAAAAAAAAAAACTTTTGGTACGCTTTACCTAGCCAAATCATCCCAAGCATTTATAAATTGTGTTGCAACTAATGTGCTGCCGGTCGAATGTGGATTTTGATTTTGTGCTGTTTGGGCTGGTTGTGATGGCTGCTGTTGTTGTTGCATTGTACCTTTTTGATTCAGAGAGAAAAATACAACAGAAATTAAAAAATTACATTATTTATGTTTGACCATTATCATTAACTTACCCCATTGTTCAAGTGTTGCGATGGCTTGTGCAAGTCTATAGCCGGATGTGCATAAATTATTTAGAATCTAAAGAGAGACAGAAAAATGTTTGAAAAAATCCACGTAAATCTGAAGAGATTTTTTTCCAAATTGATGTTCACCTGAAGATAATTGAGCCATGCACCTAAGCATTCATTTACGGCTGATTTTGCTGAATTTGAACTGCTGCTCGATGGTGATATCGACGAACCGCTACTATATGATAAAATGCCGATTGAGCCAAGTGAATGTCTCGGTGTATTTGATGCAACACCAATTAAATCATCTGGATCACTCATTTTTCCAACGATTATTACAAACGATTTTTAAAATTTCTCACTTCAAGTCACCAATTCATAGACAAATTCGTTTGCAACGACAATGCACTGAAAATATCAATAAAATAATAATAATAAATTGTGTTAACACTCGGGAATTAAAAATAAAACATATTGTTTCCATTACTAAAAAGAAATCCACATATTCAATTGAAAAATATTTATGGATCATTGATAAGTAATTAGACCCAGTATGTTAAAATACAACGAAAATCAACGACCATAAATTGCACACAATACACTGAATACTATGGATTTCCAAAAATAAATTCAATCAAATAATCTCATTTTCGATGGATGTAAACCCCGAAATTCATTGGAATTAAAACGTTATAATGACCGAATGGCCGTGGCACAATTAAATCTTATTATCAAAGAATTTATCAATGATAAATAATTCGATTCCAATTTGTAGTGAAAAGATTTTTTATTAATTTCGGAAATGAATATATATGTACCAATTACAAACAGAGCCAAGACAGATGATAATAGCAACGGGTCACTGTCAAAACGGCGAAATATCGTGTGAGTGTGCGTCTTCTGTTTTGTATTTTTGTATTTATGTTTGTTTCTATTCTTCTGCATCGAATCGAACCGTTCGATTTTGTATGTAAAATATCTTGTGTGAGCACACACAGACACACCGCATACATACATCAGCACATATTTATACTTTGTAAACAGCATCAGCTGTCACGCAAGTCACTTGACGTTGGTGTGTGAAAAACAAGACTCATCAACAGATGACGCTACATGCACGTCGACATTCTTCGTTAGAATTCGATTAGAAAATAGAAACATGAAATGTATAGAAAAAATTGCGATTTAATCATCATATTGAATTAAAACGTTGAGATGGGGGAGGAGGTGGGTAATATTTGAAATGGACTGAATGAAAATACAAAAATGTGCATGCATTCAATACGAAATTCAAATTATATTGATATTGAATGATTTTGCATGTTTGCGAATAATAACAATAATAAAAACCGCAAATTGTCATAAAAACTATCATTTAAAGAATTGTTTCGATTGTTCGCTGAACTACGACACACACATACCATCACATGCATACGACTAATATTGGCGTTGACATCACGAGGTTTGCGAATAATAACGACAATGACAATGATGATGATGATGAATATTTACATGTTTTCGATGCATAACAAATAGTTTGCATTACGATCGGACAGTGACATACAGTAATGATACAAGTCCATAGGCTTGGGCTGGCATTTTATTCGATGACAAATCAAATCAAACAGAAATCATTAACATGAAACGGTGGGCCGCATCATACCTCATTTTATGATCACAACAATAACAAACGAGCCACGATACTCATCGAAATAGGTGTACTGCATCAGTTGTCGTGGCTCGGCGAAAGCGAAATATAGCATCAGTGTGTTGTTTATTTAAACATTTTTTTTTTTAAATATTTCTTTAAGGTTTGACGTTTCGTTAAAATATTAATTTTTTCTTGATATTATTTCTTCTCAATGAAAATGTGATGTGATTGTGTGTGTGTGATGGAAATGAAAATGATTTTACGATTGTGTACCATTAAAATGGGATTTCATTCATTCGATTTGTATGTTTTGGCGGCTTAGAATTGTTACTCTATTCGAATGTGAGGAAATAAAGAGAAAGATTGCAAGATTTGGTGAAAGGATTTTGGTTATTTGATTCTTCCCACAATTTTGATGGTGATCGTGTGTTCGCACAATCACGATTCCATCTCTTTCTCTCACTGTCTTTTTGCACTCACAAATATCGAACGGTATTGCAAATGTAAGTCCATTTTTGATGTAGAGAGTGTGTAATATTTAGTGAATGTGCATGCCAACGCGCAAAATTCCATCGTTTAAGTGCGATAAAGTATGTTTATCGACTGAACGATGAAAAAAAGATTTTTTTTTGTTTCGTTTTCGGTGTTGTCTCTCTTTCGAAAACTATAGCTCTTGTTGCTGTGTGCGCTATATCCATCTCATTTTGTTTATGTGATCGTGAATGCGTGTGACAGAGCAAATAATAGCGAAACGGTGAATTGTGAGTTGGTGCTGGCAGTATGTGATCGTGTTTCCATTGCGTCTATAGTTTTGTATCGGAGTGGTTGTCGTTTTCCTCTTTTGAACAAATTGTTGTGTCGTTTTATGTTCGTATCACTCTCACATCTACCTGCCTGCACCATCGTTGTCGTTGTTGTTGTTGTCAGACCGTGTGTGCGCACATTCTATTCGCTTGTATACGTCTGTATTCGCTTTGTATATGTGTGTGTATATACTCGTGAAATGGCTGTGTATTGCATACGATTCCGCTGATACGTTTTTTTTCTTCTCTCTTCTTCTGTTGGTCTCCCATCCAACAAGTGAGAACGATCATCCGAAATCGCATTTCAACAGTATACGTAGTCCCGAATCATCAAATTTAGAGCAAAAACTAGAGAAAAAACGTCGACATTCTATCAAGTATATATTATTTTGTGAATTGTAAAAAGGTAATAATAAAAAACAAAGAAACTAACCATGAATATTGGCGAAAATCAATTGGATTGTGGAGTTTGTGTGCCATTTGAAATATATGTGGCAATTGCAAGAGAATAATAAGTGTATTAACAATTTTATAAGAGAGCCAGAGATTTTATATGAACAAACCACCGAAAAACATGAATTTCATCAAGATTAGGTAAACAAAATAAAAAAAGCAATCGACGTCGAGTGCATTGTACAATTGACAGGATATCTTTGGGCCATGATAATTAGTGATAATGATGTTGTGCCAATAACAACAATATTTCTATTATTTATCTCGTGTCGGTGTGTGTGTTTGTGTGTTGATATTATATTTATTGCATGCAATTTATTGTATGCTTTTGTTTTTGCATGTAAACTAAGAGTAACAAATTTTGTATTTGATGAAATAAACAGAAATAAAGGTACAGTGTTTGTGGCGGTTGTATTTGTGTGAATGTAATTTCGCGTAAGAGTAAACCAACCACAACAACAACAAAATTGGTGTACGCTAACTTGAGCACAGATGATGGTGAATGGTACCGTTAATTACGTTTATCACCATTCAATCGATTTTCATTTCAAAACCTGAGAGTGTGCCTTTTTTTGTACTTCAATTCAGAAGAAAGAAAAAAGAAAAAAAAAACTAACTAATGAATATGAGTCGAGTACCTTTGAGAATGCGTTCACCTTACCGAGTTTGAGATCGTTTGCATAGTTGCGGCGAAACAGTAGAAAAAGAAATAAAATAAAATAAAAAATCATTTCAATGCTGAAGCACATTGATCCATTTCGATGGCAATGCGATGAATTTTCATTTGCAAATCCATCTCGAATGGATGTTATTGATAACTTGCTTGCTTTTTTGAAATTTCATTCAAGAAAGTGCTTATTTTGAGATCATATTTTGTGCATGCCACTAAACCAAAACAGTGAGTTAGAAGTGTATGCAATAAATCTACAGATTTTTTTCCGCTCTCTATTTCTGCCTCTATTGAAACGTCAAACATGTGAAAAGAAAAAAAATAGTTTGTGAAATGAAGAAAAAAACACGATTCGATGCGAAACAATTTTTTGGGCATAGCGATTTTAAACGGGTTCGAGTTCTATATACACTTTGCCAAATACTGCCGATCGCATTTTTGTTCGTTGTTTTCAGTAAATTTCTTAACCATTATTTCATCATTTTATAAATAAAATTTGAACAAAACAAGCAGCAAAATAAAAATGGAAATGAGAGTACATTTTGTGTGAGAGTGAGACTTTTTAAGTGAAATCGGAAGAGTGCGATATTTGAATAACATTTACATATAAATATCAATGGTTGTGCATATTTTAACCAATACATCGTTGTTTGACAATACGACACGAATGGTTTGGACACGTTGCGTGTGACAGTTTGTATCGATGTTACTTGAGTTTGTCAGTTGCCTGCCAAATGTCATTGAAGGTGCTAAAGCAAGAAGACACTCAAATGACATTTTATTCAAAACTGAGAGCGATCTTTTGTGGTGGTAGACACAATGCATATATGTGTGTGCCGTTGCCACCACCGTACATCGATGCCACGATACATACGAATTGTGTATGAGTGAATTACTTCTTGTGCGCGCTTGTGTATTTGTGTTTCTGTTCTGTTCTTTTGTAAGATCGGAGGCGAGAATATCACAAATCGATTTCTTGTTAGAAAGTTACAATTAAACCAACACTTGATTCTGACCGAACAAACCGAGTAGCCTATATTCCATTTAGAGAAAAAAATCAGCACATTGAATGTCATATGCTCACACTTGACCAATGTAAGCAGTCTGTTAAGACTGTGGCAATGTGTCATTGTGCTATAATTGTGCCATATTTTGTTTTTTTCTTCTCATCGCTTAACATCATTTATATATACACTGTTTATTATGAAAATAATAGATGGCTATGCACCAATGATTTCTCCAGTGCTTGAGAAAATCAAATCGTTTTTAATATTTTAATTTATGTCAAGTTGAATTAAATAATATTCAAGATCGATCTCATCCTCAATAAAGTGGTTACTATATTTGTATCTTTCGATATAAAAACTATTAATCATTTAAAGTGAATCATTTACATTTCAATGTTGACGAAGAGAGAGAAGAAAAAAAATTGTTCGTTGAACGTCATTGCATGGAAAATTCAATGAATTTTTCATTAGAAATTACATTAAAATGAATAATAAATATTCCAATGGGGTTTTACTCATCATTCAAATCGATTTGGTTAAAAACACACCGTCAAAATGATGATTATGGTCGATGTTTATGCAAAAATATATGTACATACTGTTAATGCAAAGTAATTTGGCACAACAAAAAGTGATGTGCGAGCGCCCATCGATTGGCCACAATTAAGTTTCTTTTAGTTAACAACCACAACAGTTACGGAAAAAAAGGTATTCATGTGAATTTCATTAGGCATCTTTCTCTTTTCGCTCGCTCTGCATATGGAGAAGAGAAATTGATGTGTATGAAAAACGAATTGAGACTTGAGCTTTTAATCATATGTAATGGAATGTTGACAGCGTTTGCTGTGTATGAGTTTCAAGGCATACTCTTTTTGTGTACTGCTGTTTTTTTTCGTTTGTCTCATTTTGCCTAGTAATTTTACCGTATTTTTCATCGGAATTCACAGTCAAATTGAACGCACAGAGAAACAAAGACGAATAATAGAGATACACAGAGAGAAAGAAGTCACTTGAGCGCGACAAATATTCCATATCTATTGGTCAATAAATGCAAATCGAATTTGTGCGTCGTACAATGGTAATTTGAGTGTGCGTTTTTACCATAGTAAAAAATAGTGAAATTTGGACATCGGCTCGATACGACAACTGTTATTTATGAATATTAAAACGAAATGTTAACATTGAAAAATTATTTGTTCCACCGAAATTACATGCTATACATGAATATTAAACAAATTTCTTTTCTTTTCAGGATGTAGCAAAACAAAAAATTGCTTAATGGAGTGAAAATCGATTAGACGACGCTCGACAATTATGTGAACGAACAATTTA